AATGTCTTGCAATTTAAGAAAATGTCCAGTACTCAATAACAACTTGAAAATGCCCACAACTTCCACCTATACTGAATCTGCATTTCCAAAGTAAATGCGTTTTTCAGCATCAGTTGGGTTTCGGTAGCTCAGGCAACCCTGCATTGAAGCACTGATGTTAGTAGTTGATCCAGAGTCTAACCACCAAGTGTTTCGAGGTACTGAAGCTAAATTAACCTCATAACAAACCAAAGTAAGAAACGTACCCTTCTTCACGCGCCAAGTGAAATTTAGTACAATTCTTCTTCTCATGTCCAAGTTTCTTGCAAAAGAAGCAAGTCTTTTTAGGACGAGCCCGAGGAGCTGGAGGTGGAACATGAGCTTTAGTAGTCTCAACCTTAACGGCCTTATATTTTCTCTTCTTGCCGCCTGCATCCGTTGAGGTATCAACCACATGTACCTCTTAAGTCTTATTACGCTTCATCCCTTCTTCTTCCTCAACACAGTGAGATATGAGCTCATTAAGAGTAGTCCACTTCTTCTTTTGACAGTTATAACTGATTTAAACTGATCGTATTGAGTAGGAAGTGAGAGCAAAACCAATAGGACTAACATGTCCTCTGAAAGGTCTAACTTAAGTGCTCTCAACTTAGAAGCAGTATTAGATATGTTCAGGATGTATTCCCTTATATTTCATTTGTCGTTATACCTCATGGTAATGAGACTCTTCAGAAGAGTACTCATTTCCGCCTTATCGCTTTTGATAAAGAGTTTCTCAATTTCAACAAGGAAAACATTGGCAGTAATGATATCATCATATATCGTGCCCCTAAAGATTTTTGGAATGCTTTTCTTTATGATCATTAGACTTAGGCGATTAGACCTATCCCACTTCTCAACCAACTGCTTTTCATCTGCAATGCTTTCTTCCGTAGGAGAAGGGGATTGATCTATCGTTAATGCCAAGTCTAGATTCATACAGCCCAAATGAATCAATATTGATTCTTTCCAGTGCTCATAGTTGTCCCCAGACGGTATTGGGACTAAATAGTTAGAAGATACCATAAGATTCGATCCTGAAGATAACAAGGAATAAATATACACATAAGTACTCAAGTAGCATAATGAAACTCAAAATAAAATAATGCAATCCCATCTCAAGACACTAAACGCAACATTAATGTTTAATCTTGGATCAATGCTATTAACTACAAGCAATCATCTTGTTGCAATAATCATATACGGATAATAAGGTAATGTTAAACAGTAACCAATCTTTGGACTGATTTACTATTCACATAAGTTAAATCTATATAATTGTCCCATACATATTATCGCAGATGTATATTTTATTCTGTCAATTATCGACTGTCTTTGGGCCGAAGAATAATCACATGAATTAAAATACACCTGTAAACACTTACGTTATCAAGAAAAAATTTCATATAAGAGATGTTACTTTGACAACTTCAAATACTAGATTTTCACTGTCAAAACGCAGCAAGCATTATCTATGAGTTTCTAATTCTGAAGATGAAAAATATTTGCAATATAAGCAAAATCAATTTCTGAAGATGCATAGATCAATTTCATAAATAATATATTCCAAAATATTCATGATAATTTTATAAACAAATAAACATGAATTCATGACATGTATTTAATACATAAATAGATCAATAAATAAATGAATGAATGAATGTCCACGCGTATGTGTATTTGATTGTACGTACACTAACAGATACAAAACACATGTATGTACGGAGACCGAGGCATATTTTGTAGATTCATTACAATATATATATACATACATGCATTCAATATATTTTATTCCACAAAATAAAAAATAAATAAATAAACGAGCTGTCTAATCAAGATTTCAAAACCTTCAACTTGTACACGGATTCCCAAAAAAATCACTCATTCATATGAATCCCAATACAACTATTGATTACATAAAATATTTTCCATCGCTGAAGATTAAAATTTGGTTCGGGTGAAAGGACTTTAGATTAATCGACAAAGGATCAAATTGAATTCATAAGATTTTGCAAAGAATTGCAACAGCGAAAATTTCAATATATGATCCCGATCAAATGCCAATTAATTCAAGAAAACAACTAAAATTCAACATGCTCTTATACCAATTGTTGAATTTAAATGTCCAATCCTTAAAGCGGAAGCGTACCTGTAGATGAAGCTATATACAAATCTTGGGTGATTAAAGGTTTGGTCTTCCAAGATCAGGGTGCCGGCTTCCTTTCTATCCTTGACGGGCGAGGAGCAGAAACTGGAGGGAGAATCAGATCTCTTTTACGGGGCGCTGATCCTGGGAACCTAACCCTAGCCTATTTATAATAGGGCAAACATAATTGTAATTACAATTATGCCCTTAATTAATATTATTAATTTGTCACGTCACCAAATAATAATATTATACGGGTAGCTGCACTTTCATTCCATAACAATCAAATCTATCAGTCAATTATTAATTATATTAATTAGACCACTTAAATAATATGACGGGATGAAATAATGACTTTAACAATATATTTCATACATATATTTGATCTCTAATCCAACATCACTATATATATATATGAGATAGAGTGTATGAATATAATATATATTATAATTTTAAAGTTTTAAATTAACAATTAATCAATTAATTAATTAAATTTTTATTATTACTATTATTATTATTATTATTATTATTGTTATTATTATTGTTATTATTATTGTGTATATAGATATTGGCCGGGCCAGTCCTGACTATTGAAGGGCCCGGGGCGAAATAAAAATTAAGGGCCCTTAAATATATATATAGTATTTTTTGACATATAATAAAATATAAATAATAAAAAAACATTTTTTTTAGTATTTTTACTCAAAAATATCAATAATGATAAGGCAAATTTGTTCATTATTTTCATATAGTTTTGAAACTTAGCATAAAAATTTTCTGTACTTTAAAAATTGAGTGGCGTCCCTTTTATACTTTAACAAATTAAATGTCATATGAAACTTACATCATGCAAAAAAATATAAACAAAAAGTCATCTTCTCATCATCCAAAAAATATAAAAAGAAGTTTTATTCAACAATTTTGAAAGTATAAGAGGGCATCATGCAATTTATAAATTATAGAGAAGATTTACGCTAAATTTTAAAACAACAAGAGAGTTGTTGATAATTTTTACTAATAGTAATAATAATTTTGTCTAATACTTATTTTCTTCTTAATGCAAAATAAAATAAAATTAAATTAAATTTAAAATTTAAAATTAAAATAAAATCAAAAAACCCCTTGTAAATGATATACTCCCTCCGTCCCTTAACAATTTATCCATTTTTCTATTTTAATCCGTCCCATAACAAAGTATCAATTTCTTTTTTCTTTTTTCGTAACAGTGTTTTCTACTAATATTAAAAATACTCTTACAACTTACAATATATTACACAAATCTTTTCTATTTTATTTATACCACACCCAAATATAATACTAATATTCCTAAAGGGGCAGATGAAGTATATATATATTTTTTACCTATAATAGAATATAAATAATTAGATAAAATAGTTTTTTCTAATATTTTTAGATAAAATATTAATAATAGTATTAATATTAATTTTGTCTAAACAATATTTATAAATAATATATTTTTTTTTATCTATAATAAAATATAAACAATTGAATAAAATTAAATTTCTAACATTTTTATATGAAAAATATTAATAATAGTATTAATTAATATTAACTTTGTTTAATGCATTAAAATATACTTTCAAATTTTTATGGTACATGGGTTTGAACCCAAAACCTCGTAAGTAGTACATGAAACATGTAATCATCGAGTCATATTCCTTTATTAATATATTAAAATCAAATAATATGTATATATAAATATTTTATACATAACATAAATATATTATGGGCCCTTATCTAGGTTGGGCCGTGCGCTCGCCCGGGCCAGGGCTGACCCTGGATATTGAAAGTAGATAGATCTAAAAATAAAAATCAACTTTTGTTTTTTGATCGGATAAAAATCAATTTTTTCTTGTAAGGTACGTAGTACTACTTTTTTATTCAATTGATTTAGCTTATAGTGTATATTTATGTAGCTATGGGTAAATTTATGTGGATATTGAAAGAAAGACTTAACAAAATATGTTAGTTATGATTATGTGTGATTTGATCACTCTGTAGTACTATTCATGTTATTATCATAGAATTATCGAAATTGAGTCTTTTTTTCATTTTATTTTTTATTTAAATAATATTTTGTGTGATATTTTGTAAGAGTAAATAATATATCTTTTTTATTGTGAACATACAGGTTGAATCATAAATTTTTTTATATAAAATAAAAACAAACACAAAAAGAATATATTAATTATAAAAAAATAATATATATACACTAAATATAAAAATATTTATAAAAATAAAAATATCCAAAACAAACTTAATAAATTAAATAATAAAAGACAAAGAATTTTATTTATAAAAATATTGTAAATATATTAAATTGTAAAAGATTCAAGGCTAATATAAAGTTTTGTACAAAAATCTAGAATCAATTTAAAATATAAATAATATATATATATATATAAGCCTTCTAGAATCATCGGCTACTATAAAAATTGGTGAGCATATAGAAAGAAAAAAAAATAATAAAATAAGGCACACCAAAAAAGCTACATTTAAAAAATTGTAGAAAAGAATAAATTAAAAATATAATTAAACAAATAAAATATATAGAATCCTTCTAGAACCATCATTTACTGCTATAAAAATAGCCCATTTTAGGATTAGGGTTACTGTATACTTTCTTGACGGCGGGACAAGGCTGAGGTTCAGATCCGGTGATTTTGAGTTTTTTCATTTTCATTTGATTTGCTTGTTTGTCTATTTTTGTTTATTTGTTTTAGTTGCTTAGTTGGAGATATGAGAAACGTAAAATGATATTTTGGCACCACTCTTGGAACAAAAGAGAAGATTTGGCTGAAGATTGAGAATCGATAGTTGGACGATAGATGTCATGGTGGCAAGAAAGGTGTTGGTTTTGCAGATGATGAATCAAATATTACTCTGAGGTAAGTTTTCTAAAATTAATTAAGGATTTAAAGTAATTACTTTTTTACTGTGACAAAAATCTACCATGTATCTATCAACTCATTGGATCTTGTAGTTATCAAACTCCACCGTCAATAAGGAAACCTACGCCGACTATAGGGATTTTGTGGACACAAGGCCTGAAGTAGGAGCAATTGTGGATGCGTGGTGGTGGGAAGGCATCGTAATTGGATGCCATAAACTTCCGCTCTACTTCCCCGGTACACTAGTCGAACACATACAATACTTTGGCCTTTCAGACCCCCTAATTGTTATCCACTGATTCGTATATCTAACCTATCGACAGGTGAGAAAACGATTTTGTCGGTAGAGCAGCTGTTGGAGCTCCCAACCACACTCCAAAGTCAGCCACTGCTTGATAATGCTTTAGATGAGGTACCTTTCATGCCCTTATAACTCTCAAAAAGTCCCTTTTTTTCCATCTATTACTCGATTATGAATATAGGTTTTTTATAATCAGGTTTTTGGGGCTACATATGTGAGCATCGATGTGCTTGAGAACAATACTACTAGGTGGCAGTTCAAGGTGTGTGTATGTATATATGTATGTGTTTAAATTTTGCTTGCATAGTAGTTTGATGTGATGATTGTAAGAGGGGATAGTGTATTTTTCTTGGGAGGTTTCGGAATTGCATACTAAAGAATTTGAAAAAATAAATTTTCTTGATGAACGTAGTATATCTTAGAAATACCAACATTTTTTGGTTGAACATTTTGTATGTCTTGAGTAGAATCTTAAAGCAGTATTGATGAATCTGAAGACCAAGATTCATGCCCGTGGGTCATTTGGTCCTGATTTCCAACAGACGAAGTTCCAGAACTCTTTAAAATGGTAATTATCATTAGCTACACTTCAGTATGCTGTCATACTATAAATCCTTATAATCCAACTCTCTTCAATATGCTTCAGGTTAAGGGATGTGGTGCGGAAGTTACATTCGACATATAAAAGACGGAATGATGCTGCTGGTGACGTGATACACATATATGCGCGCACGAAGTGTTTTCTCCGACTAAGGGTGAGTTCTAGTTCTTCAAAACTCGCAACACCAAAATGCCGACCTGTTGAACTTGAATTATGCATGAGTAATTAATTCTTCAAATGCATCCTTTTTCAGAAATACAAGAAAGTAGTATCTCCCCCCGTTCACATTACTCCACAAGACCTCAGCCCAAAGTATGCTGAGAAATTGGGTTCAGGTGTACACGAATACCACAAAACATATAGTGATTCATATTGTATAGGACAGCTAATGTTTAATTTGGTATTCTAATATCCCGACCCAAATGTTTTGCTGGCTGAATCAAGCAGGGGATGCTGTCCTTACCCAAATCCCAGAAGCCATCACAACAACTTGTTTACGGCCGAAGGACAGTGAAGTTTATGCTTTCTATGATGGTAAGCCTGATGCCTTGATTATCATGTACAGATTTAGTAATCAAATTTAATATTTGTTTTCATTTTTATGAATTGAGTCTGACTGATAATCTCCCATGTATTATCTTTGCCAGAAGAAAAAACCCCAAATGCCTTGGCCGGAGGACCAGATATGGTCATTCAAGAGCTCCCTGAACATTGTTGGCAGCCCAATACTGGATGCTGTGCTACACAAGGCTTGCATTAACAAACCGATGCTTCGCTGGTTAAGACTCAAATCTAAGGTCTCCTGAGGAACGTAGCATTCAAAGATAGTGGTTGCCGAATGACTCCCGATAAGAAGCACCAATTCATGTCTCTCGGCTATTCAGCAAAGAGCAAGATGGCAAACACAATGGGGCATTGTAGCCTGTAGGACCTGTGATCGCTACAAGAAATTATTAATTTTGTAACTTGGTTTTTTTGTTTCTAAATTCACTTTTTCCGTTACTAATGATATTAGAGACGGAATTAGAGATGGAATTACGTTAGCTATGTGAACTTTAAGAATGAAATTCCGTTACAAATATACTATTTTTTTTTAGTGGATCCAAACAAATATCCAAACATGTATTTCTTGCATTTTTTTTGTGCTCATTTAGTTTATTACAATCATTTCTACTTTGTTGCCAACATCATTTTCATGCTGGTGACATGACAAATATTTAAAAAGTAAAGCTTATTTGTGTTTTGATTCTTGTGATATTATTTTATAATATAGTTTTTTCATTTTGAAAAACCACAAATCATATTAAATAAGTTCTTCCCTCTTTTTATCATTCAAATTATGTATATATATAGTTTTAAAATCTCATAAATAATATATATATATATGACATGATGTGTATGAATGTAATATACATATATAAATTTTTTAATGTTACTATAAATAACAATTTAAATATTTTTTATGTATATGAATATTGATAGTAGATAAAATCAAAAAATCATAAAAAATAAAAGCAATATATATAAAATGAAAAAAATTATTTATAAAAATAAACATATATGAAATAAACTTAATATAAATTTGAAATATATAAATTAAAGAAATATATTCATAAATATTTATAAGAAATAAATATAGTTAGAAATGAGACTAGATAATATATAAAAAGAAAAGAAGAGTTTATAATAAATTGAAAATATAAATAAACAAATAAAAATCATCTGCATACAATGTTCGAGAACCATTGGCCTGCATTTGTTTTATATTGTGTTTGAAAATTTCTTTTATTTCAAAGGGAACCGGTAAAACAATTTTTTATTTCTGAAAAAAAAAACAAAACTTTGATTTAAGATCCTCTTCTCTTTTTTCTTCCTTCTCATATGTATGGTTTTATTGTATATTATTTGCACATAGTTTTGAGTCAACTGTTTCTTGTAAGATATGTAGTACTACTTTCTTATTTAATTGATTTATTCTACTTATAGTGTGTATTTAGATTTTATATAGATATGGGTCAACTTTTCCACGGATATAGGAATGATGGCAGCACCAAAAGATGTTAGTTATGTTTGAGTGTGTGATTTGATCCGTCTATAGTACTATTCATATGATTATGATAGAATTGTCGAAATTGAGTTTTTTTATTTGAATTTTGATTTAAATAGTATTTTGTGTGATCACTACCATAAAATTGGGCTAAAGTTGTGTTAACAAAAATCATGATTTTAGTACAAATTGGTAATTTTTTACTGAAAAGCCACCGTAAAATATACGGAACTATTTCCGTGGAATTTTATTGGTAATTTTTTCTAAATTGGTGACAGTTTTGTGATAACAAATTACAAAGTAATACCATGGCGTCTCTGATTTTCCATAGCAACAGAAACTACAATAAAATTTCGTGATTTTAAATGGTGACATTTCTGTAACAATAACTTACAAAATAATATTATTACACTTTCGTGACTTTATATCAACGAAAGTTGTAACAATTTTGAGACTTTATATTTTTGAAAAAATAATATGATTATATTATAATTATTGTTTAATGCAGCCACGCACCATTATTTATCATATAAATCTGCATGTCTTAAGCTAACCACTAACCACACTATTTTTCAATTTAATCTGCAACTCGGAAGCTATGTCCTATCACACCCAACTTAGCTATCTAATTTGAAGTATTTATTAAAGATATATACATACTTATTTAATGTATCATTCTATTTAATATAAAAATTAATAAATTTATTTAATATATTTTTTTTAATGTTACAAATGACTTCTTGAATTTCATCAATTGTCCACCAATTATAAAGTTTCAAAGTTAACAATGCATTTAAATCTATTATCATATGATAACTATAAATAGTTAAATATTTTATTACATTAATATCTAAAGTAAATTAAATTAATATATATTAATTAAATAGAATAAAAGATAATTAAAATTATGTATAATGTATCCGTAAGTAGTTATTATTTTTTTATAAAAATAAATATAGAATTAAGATTTTGCAAATATTACGGTACTTATATCATAAATTTAAATACTCATGAATACTTAAAAAAAAAATCAATTAAAATACTTATATCAATTGCGAATATTTTTGGTATTTGTTTCGTAACTTAAATTAGTCACAAAAAATTTTGTGACAATATTTGTGACGAAATAGTAAAAAAATATGAAATAGAACTATCTTTGGAAATATTCGTTACATAAGCCGTTCTTTTAAATAGTCACGGAAAGTTACTTGTAACTTTTTTCTATAAATATTACCCTCGGTACAATCAAAGCAAGAAATTATGACATAAATTTATGACGAAATTGTTCTTCCTGACTTTTAATTGTTACAAATTAAAATCTATGATAAATTTTTGCAATTATCAATATTTTTTCTAATAGTTGATATTTTATGAGAGTAAATAATATATTTTTTTATTGTAAATGTGCGCGCTGCATCGCAAACTTTTTTTTTATTTCAAATAAAAAAGCACAAAAAATTTACTATTAATTATAAAAAAAGTTAAAGTGATATATATAAAATAAATATGAAAAATATTTATAAAAATAAAAGTAACTAAAAACTGCATAAAGAAATGTATTTATAAATATATAATAAATATATTAAATTGTAAAAGATCAACTACTTTAGATAATATAAAAAATTATAGAAAAACCTGAAAAAAATTAATACATATATATATCCGCATGTATCTATGTACTGAAATTTATTTTTTTTCAGCATTAATGATGATTACTAAAAATATTAACTATTTTAATAATATTTAAAATATAATTAAGCAAAAATAGTCCAAAATCCTTCTAGAATCATCTGCTACTATAAAAATTGGTGTGAGAGAGTGTACACACTAAAAACTCTATTTAAAAACTTTTAGAAAGATCTTAGAATAAATCAAAAATATAATTAAATAAATAAAAATAAATAGAATCGTTCTACAACCATCCTCTTAGTACTATAAAAATCTTCCACTCTTTTTAGACAGGGTTATTGTATATTTTCTTAGGCTGCTGGATAAGGGCTATTTTGAGGTTCAGATTCTAATTATTTTGAATTTTTTCATTTCCAGTTTATTTGTTTGCTTAATTTTGTTTATTTGTTTTGGTTGCTTTGCTATTTTGAGGTTCAGATTCTAATTAGTTTGAATTTTTTCATTTCCAGTTTATTTGTTTGCTTAATTTTGTTTATTTGTTTTGGTTGCTTCTGTTGGAGATATGAGAAAGGCAAAATGAGATTTTGAAAGCACAATATGGAATAAAAAGATAGTGAGAAGATTTGGCTGAGGATTGGGAATATATTGTTGGGCTATGGATGTAATGGTGGCGAGATAGGTGTTGGTTTTGTGCATGACGAATCAAAGAGTACTCTGAGGTAGGTTTTGTAAAATTGATTTAAGGATTTAAACCGTGAACGAAAAACTATGATGTACCTCTCAATCTCGGCTTGTCAAACTCCACCATCAGTAAGGAAACCTTTTGCCGATGAATGGATTATGTCTGGTGTACAATATCAATAATTCAATAAATGGAAAAAGAATCAGTAAGGAAACCGTAAGGAAATATTCACGCACTGATATATAATTCAAAAAAAAAAATTATAATGTAACTCTAACCCCTAAAACTTGATCTCGGCACTGAAAGAATCTCGGCACTGATATATTCACGCACTGATATGAATTATTGATATTTTTGGCCCAACGTGATCCATGATCCATTTCCCCACTTGCAACTCTAACCCCTAAAACTTGGATCTTATTCTATTAACCGTGACCCGCACTGATATATAATTCCTCCCTGTTCCATTTTTGTGTACATAAAATTCGATTATATTCTGAGTGTTTATTCTCTTCATGCATTCCTTTCATTAGTTTTTTTAGGGTTTTTTCTATTTTTTTGTTAGTTACAATCGTTCTCTTCATCAATCTTTCCAAGTAGACTTCTTTCTTTGTGATCTGTGAGTGTTCGGGGGGATTAGTTGTCGATTAGTCAAGTTAGATCTCTAATGGTTCGAAACTGTTGGTATGGAGTTTTTTTGGGAGGCAGGTGGGCTTAGAAAGTCAGATATATAGTCGAGAACCTGGGCTTCTTCCCGAATCAAATGCTGCCCACGCCCAAGGCCTCAAAATTTTGGCCACTTTTAGCGGCTCATTTTTTTTAAAATATATATTTATATAAAGATTAAATTTAATATGATCTTTTTATGAAATAAAATAGTACTCCCTCCATCCCAAACAATGTACAACATTTTTTTTGGGCATGGGTTTTTTTAGGTTAGAATAATTTACAAATAATGTGATGAGATGGAGAGAGAAATATATATTTTATTTTTTTATTTAGATGATGTGATAGGGTAGAAATTAAGTTAATTATTTCATATTTTGGAAATATTGCAGGGTGTTTGGGAAAAAAAAAAATATTACAGGGTGTTTGAGACTGAGGGAGTACTACATTTTTATTGATAACGATACTAGACAAACTCAAAAAATTTAATAATAAAAGAAATAATTAAAAATTAATTTTATATCAATTATACGTAAAAAAAAATTAAGGATTTTTTTTTCTACCTAAAGCCAATCAAAACTCAGAAAGTACTCTGTTTGACATAAAAAGTTAAATATATATATATATATAGTTGAGGTCATATTTTAACAAATTGGTTCTGAATATTGGCAAGGAATCTCATGAACTTTTTATCTACATAATTATTAGATATAATCTTGTGTACGTATTATTAGTGTTTCTTATTTGTTTTATTATAATTATTTCCACTTCGTCGCCAACATAATTGTCAATGCTGGTGACACAGAAAATATTTAAAAAGTAAGGCTTATTTGTGCTTTGATTCTTATTATTGTGATATTATTTTATAATATAGTTTTTTTATTTTTAAAAATTACAAATCATATAAAATAAGATTTTCCCCATTTTTATCATTCAAATTATGTATATATATTTAGATTTAAAATCTCATAAAAAATGTATATACATAAATCACATGGTGTGTATGAATCTAAT